TTTTTTTTTTTTTTTTTTTTTTTTTTTTTTGTTTTGTTCAAACTATTTTATAAACTATGAAAATATAGAAAAGCAGAATTTATTGACATTTTTCGATGACGAGATAATTAAACAACGATCTTTCTAAAAATCTTCTCGAAAAACTTGCCCGCGCGGAAGATTCTAAAACCAGTCTGATAAAAGCATCAAATTCTTAATCTTATATTGTATATTAATACGTACATCGATTTAAATTATTGCGTTACAAATAAAATGTACAATTCGATGTTTTACGTATTTCTAGGTATTGCATAAAAAAGAATATTGTAATATTGTTAGAAATTATAACATATATTATAACTTATGAAATACCTAGAAATTCTGCAGAATAGATACGTATGAGAAACAATCGCAATGTAGTTTATATGTTGGTCAAACAGATCAGGTACCACGTCAAATTTCTAATCATTGAATTGTACATTTTATTTTTAATTAGCTTATGGCTAACTTGAGGAATGGCTTACAATTATCATTGACATACACTTTGAAAACAGACATTTCAAATAGCAATTGTCAAAAAAAAAAAAAAACATGAGAAAATATGGCTCAAAATGATAGTCGAGTGTATGTCATCGAATAATACGACTTTTCATTAAGTAAACACGAATACAACTATTGAAGATTAGCAAATTAGATTCTACGTTTATTGACAATAGCTGTTCGTGCTTACTTTTATCACTATTGTTACACGTGCGAAACTGTGTATAAGATGGAACGGATTTAAAAGCAGTCGTAGGTACACGTCTCAATTTTTTCAAGATATAATAATATAAACTTTCTTATAAAATAATTAATCCTTCGCTTTTCTGCGAAGTAAAGGAAATAACTGAAAACACAAAACAAAAAAGATTAATCTTTTGGCATATTTCATTCGAATAGAAGCACAATTATTCATTTTTCGCTTTATTAAAATAATAGAAAATTTAATGAGATAATTTAATGAGAGACAAACATAATCTATAATAAAGTATGGTGTTACTACATTCTTATATATATTTCCATATAACACCGAAAAATATGAATTCATCAAAGATATAACCAGGGGCAGTGGAAAGATTAAAATTTTTAAATAGCGGCAAACTTCCGCAAGGGATTTGTAACAAGTATATATATATATATTTATATATATATATATATTAATCATATGCATGTCAATGGAGAAATAGATATGTTGCGTGCGAATATAATATCTAACACGTCTAAACTTTATATCTTCTATATTAACGACATTCGAGTATCTTTCGACAATTTTTCATAAGCTTTGAATTCCCTAGCTAGTGGTTACGCTAATGGAATGTACCCACAAATTTAGTCCAATTGGATCGGATTAAGATGTGATAAAGTATTTTGAATAAATTACATCAGAGATTATTAACATATAATTTGTTTAAGCGTTGAAAATATTGTTATCCAATAATATAGCCAAGAAAAAAAAAGATGAAAAAAAAAATGATTAGCTTAAATGATAGGAGCCATTTTCTTTCGATAAGAGGAATCTTTTCATTAATGGAACTCGACATAATGTAGAAATAGAAAATGACGTGCATATTACAAAATTGCAACAGAATTATTACGCACGAGGTTTTTAGAATTAGAAACGGATTATTTTCTACTTTTTTACTTCATACGTAATCATTCTTTTGCAAATGATTCTCATTAACTTTTTGCAACGAAATTCAAAAATATAACACATCGATTATAATTGAATCACATCGCAAAAGGTGAAATGGAACCGATATTGGCAGCAATCGTAGCGCAATACTATTCTTTCAGCTTTCGCGATTTTCAACAAAATGAGGTACCACGGTAATATCACAACAAACGATCTCTCATGAAAACGTTTTCTCTATCGTGAATCTTTGTCATCATCAAATTATGCAAATATCTTTACAAGATCTTAAAGGAAGAACTATTCGAAAGAATGTAGCGTAGGAACACCAAAACACTTAACAAATGAAATATGATAATTGCACATGTGATATATGTTTCATCTCAATAACAATTCTCGAAAAAGTTTCATCTTTTTTCCATGCTAACATCTCTATCGTATAGTTCAATAGGACGTACTTTGAATTATGGATCATTAATAGTGTATTTTGAGTTTCATGTAAACTTACCCAAAGCTTTCATATACACGCGCGAAAAACAGTTCATACTGACGATATGCACGGATATTCGTCGATCATCCGTTATAAGCGAAATATTTTGTAATTGTATTACATTATTTCGTATTCAATTTAGTGAATCACGTAAGTTCATTTATACGCGAGTTCACCTAATGATTTACGATTATTCTTTCAGTATAATCGATATATTAAAATCGATAATCGAAGTATTCGAATTAAATAATGATATTCAATTATCAATATATTTTAAAAACGATGTGGTTAAATCTGTGCGAAGATTAGTTGTATCGCAATTTCATAACCATAACTTCACGAAATATTTTCCCACATAACATGAAATAGTTGTCTGTAAGGAAAATCTATATGAATTATCAAACGGTTGTTTCTCGGAATATTTTAACCGACGAATCTGCATGTTTAATATGAATATATCTTGTAATGGTTGTCGTGCCGTTGTTATTGTTGTTGCCATGGTTGTCATTGATATTGTTGAATATTTCACGACTGCTCAAATTGGACATCGTACCAGATTCGGACTTCTCGTTCATCACGTCTGCAGTAAGAATTAATCATTGACCAACTATTTTAGAACAACAACAGAGCAGATAAAGGTAAGATATTTCAATATTTTTTTATATTCATTTTTGTATTTGCAATTAGTATATTTTATTTATTTCGCAAAAAATTCAAATATCAATTCAAAACTTTAAAACTTTTAAAATTTATAATTTAGAATTCAGAATATATCTTTAACATATAGAGTATCATAAGACGAGTTTCAGACAACAAAAATGGCGGGAAATTATAAGAATTGAAACAGACTAACTTTCATTAGGATTTTTATCGTTAAATAGTTATTCCTATAAATTCGATATTTCGAATATTTGCTTTTGACTTTACTTCGATCTGCTCTATCACATAAAAAATACATTATAAGTGTATTGTAATGCAACGTGCGAATAACATTAAAAAATAATCACATAAATTAAAGGATGTAAATAAAAAAAAGCAACTTTGGATTGTATTAAAAATAAATTTATATTTACAAGCAGGGAAAAAATAATAATTACTAATAAAACGTTTTATGAATAAGCATAATAGGATCAGACAAATTCATGATAAATCGATGATAATACGAATAATTCGAATTTACGATTATTTTATTATATTCATATTTAAAATCTGAAATTCATTTGACAAAATAAATATTATAAATTACCTGTTATTAATAGTAAGTACGTAAAGTTTTGAAATCTTAGTAAAGAAAACGGTTAACAACATTAGTATTGCAAAAACTGTTTCTCGCATTATGTAGAATATTTTTTTGGCAAGATAAAAAGTACGTACATTCATTTGTATGCAAATTATTTTATAATTATAATTAGCTCAAATCTTTTGTAAAGATATTGAACCTTCTTTTATCGATATTATTTTCTTACAATCTTTTTCACAAATTCCATAAAGGAAATTTCTTGATGAAATGAAATAAAAAATTAAGAAAGAAAGCATTAAATAATAACATATGACATGAAGGAAACAATGCGTTAACTCAATATATGACTAACATTTACTATATTAATATCTTCTTATAAACTAAAACAAAATTAACTTTGGCAGTCGAATCCAAATAATGGACTACGTGCATCGCATCTAAATGTAATGTTTCTAATATTCTATCATAGGACACAGTAAATTTGGCAAGGATTACGATGTACATAAAAGCACATGTTTTTGTACGCGGTTTCGGTGAAAATGCATATTGCGGATAGAATTTTCGCGATAACAATAGGTCAAAAATTAAAAATGTATAACAAAACATAATTGTAACAAAAAATTAAGAAAACTACGAGGTAATAATTTTTTCAAGTGAACAAGTAACACTCGATAGATCTGAAAAACTTATTCGATAAACTAACAAAGTAAGATAACATGATCATTATGGATTTTTATGATTCTATTACATATACTGGTAACATTGTTTATAATAAATCGTACGTTGACACAATCATCTGAATATTTCGATTCATTAAATTCTACAATATAATATAATATATCACTACATAACAATGATATACTGTTTATTTAATTACGCATCTAGAATATGAAAATATACTATATAATACATAACTTTATCGTTTAAATATATACTAAAAAGATAGTCGATATGATACGACATCGTTAAAGTATCATGCACATGCAAAAGACACTTTGAACATAAAAACGTCTTGCGACATGCATGTACAATAGAAAATTAATGCTATTGGATAGAGCGTAAGCGGGATATTTTAAGTTACTAAAAAAGTACCGCTTTTTTCTTATATATTATCTCTTATTTTTTTGTGGAGCGAGCTATAAAAACTGACTTGTTCGCCTTCGTTTTTTGAATGTGATAATTTCTTATTGAGATAATCAAGAACGATGACTATAATAATATGAAGATTAAATAAGGAACATGTTTATGAATATTTAATGTTTTTTTCACGATATAACGCAGCAACACTTTTGGCACTTACTTTCTTTTCTAATGATATTATCCTTGCAACTTTCTGCATCAGATTTATATGCTTTTAACTTAATGTCCTCTGTATTATCGTTTTGACTTTGTACAGAATTGCTTCTTGTAACTTGTTGTGAACCTATTATTTCATTTTTGCTATCAAATCTTAATATTTCAGCTTGTTTAATTCCTGCATCAATATCTTTTACATTTATACATACATTTGTTTCATTACATTTATTTTGCTCCAATTTTATTTCTTTCTTTATTTTTGAGACAAAGATTTTTTTAACTTTCATTCTATTTATTCCAAGATGACTTGTTTCTTTTAATACTTCAGGAGTTTGTTCATTTTCTAATGTTGTCTCTGAAATTATAGTTTTATTTTTAATACTAATATTATCGACCAGTGCATCATTTTTTTCAAATGCATACTGATTTTTGCTATTATTATCTTCTATATTTTGTAAAGTATCTATAATTTCATTTAAACGTTTCTCTCTATCTTCAAACATTCTTTCTTCGTTCATTTTACTCAATTTATTTTCCGTTTGAAAGAGATTTGTACTAACTATCATTGTACAAGAATCTTTGTCTTGTTTTGTTATAAGCTCACTTATATTTTGCAAATATAAGTTTTCATTGATTCCTATTTTTTTCGTATTCAAATTCAGTCTGTTGCTCTCGTCATCTGTTTTGTCACAAAGTTCATCCGACTTTTCTGAACTAAATGCTTCACCACTCAAGCTCTTTGTTCGGTCGTCTGAATAAGTGCTCAGTTTCTTATCTGAATAATTACTATATTTATCGTCATGTAAGTATACAGAACTCTCGTTTGATTCAAAATTGCTAGCATTTATAATTGATATTCTTGGTATAATTAAATCTGAAGGCAAACCCTCACCATTTGGTGGAGTTGAATCTAAGGACGATCGATTGATAAAATCTCCAAAAGAATGATATCCTTGTTGTCCTTTACCTTGAATCCAAGCTTCAGTTAACAGATGAGATCTTTGCCAAGATACATCGCTATTACATCTATTCGTTCTTGCAGTCCATTGTTGTTCTTCGGAATTGGACCACGAATGTAAACAATAATCACTAGGACTTTTTTTAATATCGATCGTATCTTGATCTATATCCGTCTCCTGTCCTTTACTCCGAACAATTAGTTCTAATTTGGATTTCAAGAGAGCTGGTGACACAGCTCTGTCCAAGCGTCTGATATTCGATGTCTGTGCAAAATGTGACATAGATGTATTGTTCATATCTATGTCTATATCTGGAGCATCACTCGAAGGTATTATTATAGCATTTGGACTCGGACTGTCCATACTATCCGGGGTATAAGGATCATGCTTAATGGGTGCTGCGTGCAACAGATTAGTTGAACGATCCGTGTAATTGACTCGTCCGCTAACGCAACTACTGTAATCAGGCAACATGGATAACAATTCCACGTAATTGTTTGGCACTCGAAAGCAAAACTCAGGTGCACTCGGCAAGCTGCAGCAGTTTATCATACCTTCGTCCACGATGAGATTAGCCCTCAAATAGACTGGCTGCAAACGGGAAAAAATGGACGATCCTTATGTATTATCGTGCATCTCTATGAAGAAATGGAGAGGGACATTCTTCATATGATAGGATTCTATAAAAAGTCTAACTAACATTAATTTAATTCAGGGAAACGATACGATAAGAAAATTTTGATAGTATTATAGAAATGGTGCTGAAAATTTTGATAGAATTCTGAAAAATATTTTATTTTGATTATAAAAATGAATATCAAACTTTTTTTCAGTATACAATTCTTCAATATTAAAATGTTTTTAGATTAATAATTTATTTTAATCTTGTTAATTGTAAGTAAAATGTATTTAAAGAAGCAATGAAATCCATACTTTTAATAAAATATACTTAACTTTTTCTATTTTCGACAGTAACGAGTATAAAAAAGGCCAAGTAGAATTATGAAATTGTAAATTATTAAAAAAGTGAATTTGGAAAAAGATACTGAACCAACTACATTAACAAGCTTCTAGTTGTATAAATAGTGGAATGAAATATTAGAAGAAATAGAGGATACTTTATGGAAAAATCAAGATAAAAGTAAGCAGACAGTTGATAGATAGGTACCTTAGTGCTTAGAGATTCATTCGAAACTCCAGAAAAACAGGCTGCACCATAATAATTAAAAGAATGAATCGTCAGAATAATAACTAGGAAGTGTGTAAATATATTAACCCAGCATAAGAGTAAAATGAACTAATGTCTTTCCTTTTATATTAAAAGATTGACTCACCTTATGATCGCCCATACAAATTGTTGGACCTATTATTCCATATTCTACAGTATCAGGTGATGATATCTAAAATAAAAATAAATAATTAAAAAAAATAATTATATATAGAATTATTCGTATAAAAATATATTTATTTAAAAAAGATATAATTAAATAAACAGTATCTCATACATCTTGGACTAGCATTTTAGCGGTAGGATTCAATAGAATACGGTCACACCAAGCCGGTACTCTTGTTTGCATATAATTTGAACCTTCATTGATATCTTCTTCAAATGGATAACTGGGTACAAATTTAATCGGAAATTCAAATAATCTTCCATCAAAGTCTTCCAGCTCTCTATCATATTCACGTAGCTATATAAATATTCGTAATTTCATTATGGTCTTCCTAATCGTCAATGCAGTATTATAAGTAACATTATACAATGAGAAATTCGAGTTACGAATTACTTACCCATTGTCCATTATTTTTCACAAAAACATTCTGATGCTCATAATGAGAAAATTCTTTTTTTCCTAATGTTAATATGAGATCATCGTCTTTATTATGAAATTGTAGCTTTGAAATGCTTCCTTTGTTTGATAATCTTCTCTCTTGAGTATCTTCCGTAAGTTTCTGTATAAAAGAAAAAATATAAAATTTTAAATTATTTTAATTTCATTATTTATGAGAATATAACTTTCGTATTTTTTATTTCATACTTACTTTAATTACACCGGCTGTATCTGTCCTAAAATTAAAGTCTCCAAATAAAAAATATGGTACATTTGAATATTTATCATTATGAAACCTATCTAATGTATGCTCGAGTGCTCTTCTACGCGTCTTACTATATACGGATGGAAACTGAAAATAAATTATCAAAATAAATAAATAAGTTATTAAAGCATCTTATAATATAAATTACTTACTGTTTCCATAGCAATAAAATTACTGGCATCATGAAATAAATGTATATTTATGAGATCAAAAACTGTTCCACTAATACTCCATCGTGTCCTTAAAAATCCTTTTCTAGACCATTTACATTCTGGAAAGAATTCCTGAGGAAACTTAGCTTTTTCTTTGGTTGTGACTGCTTCTATGTTACCAGAATGAACTTCCTTTCCATTTACGGATATAAAAGTACATTCTAAAATTATAATAATAATTTATAAATTATAAATAAAATTATAATAATAATTATTATAATAACTATTTTAATTTATTAGTCATATTAATCAAATATTATATCATACCTTGGAAATCCCATAATAAAACGTTTTTCAAAGATTCATGCACAAAATAAAAATTTCCAAGTGCCTGAAAAATATATTATGAATAATTACAAAAAAAAATTAGTAATTTTATCCATAATGAAATATATTTTTTTTATCATTAATTGTTTTTTGCCTACCGTAAAATGTTCAGCAGATGAATAATCTTCATCTAAGAATACTCTAATTTTATCAAACAGCCTTAATTCTTCGGAAGACATTAATAATCTGCAACAAAGAATCTTTTAAATGAAATTAAACTCTATAAGAAAAGTACAAATGTTAAAGCTAACACAGTAACTTGAAGATCTACTATATTTTTAAACATATTTTTTTTTATATTACTCCCCTATGAATATCATTCGATAAATTCATCTTTTGAAGTGGTTCATTCAACCATAGAACCATGCGTGATAATCTATTTTTATCCCTTTCTGCCACTTATGCGTTAAATCACATTCAATATCATGATCAGAGAAACCTATTTGTCTTAGTATAGTTTTAAAAAGGCTTGTTGATACCTCTGTATGCTATTCCATAAATATTTCATATACTTAAGAAGTAATAATATTTGAATAAATATTGTCATGCATTTTGTTATGCAACTGTAACTTTGATTAAAGACCTCTTTAGTCAGAAAGAAGCCTTTCAAGAAGCTTTACCTTAATAAGATTTTAACTGGAATATTTTTTTTTACCCTTAATACGATATAATCATGATAATGACTATAGAGTAAATAAAAAAGAATTTTTTAAATAAAAAAGAAAATATAGAAAGTTACCTAACAAAATCTTCCACTTGTCTGGTACTGTGCTCATAATTTTTTCCACCTACTTCTTGGCAGTGCAGTGCAATAAATTTTGGATCCAACCTCAGTATAGTCTGAAAAGCATTCTTTGTGAATGTAAATATTCGTTATATTTACGCAATGACAACGCATGTTATCTATAATACTTACAGATAAAAATTCTTCCGTCCAAATTTTTAACATCACGCTAGGCTGTAAAAAGGACACGCATTTTATATGTATCATATGTTTTGATTAAAAATTTAAATTGAGAAAAAAAATTACATGAAATTTAAAAATATATTCTGCTATACTACATCGCTATTTTATTAAATTTATTGATCTATATATGGAAAATCTAAATTTGATCACGCAAATGCAAAATCACGCAATGTTAATGTATTAATGTGTATATGTTATGCATGTATATTAATTCATATATATCAATCAATCGAATAAAAGGCATAATTTAATTCGATCTAAAATTACGAGAGTAACAAGAAAGATATAATTACGGAAGATCGTTGATAATGATTCTGTCGTTGATTCTATGCGCGTTAACATTACTAATACAATTAATACATGCGGGATCATGACGTTTTACGGTCAGCATAATGAGAAAAACAAAAGAGAAAAATGATGAATGAAGAGTGATTGTAAAGAACAAATAAGAATCAGCAGCATATTATCGGTATAGTATAATACAAAAGACGCGCGCAAAGCTGCTGACTCTAAACTGAAAGAAAAAAAAGAGAAAAGAAAAGATGATGAAAGAAGATGAAAGAAATAAGTCGTATCACGTTCGAAGGTAAATTGTGAGGCGCAATCAATCGATCGTTCAGAGCTAGTGAAGTGGTGAAAAGAAAAAAGAGAAAGGAAAAATAAAAAAATCCTGTACACTCACCTCCTCGAAAATACTGCCAACATTTGCAGTGACCAATAAGACCGGAACGCTATTACCCGCCATTCTTCAATGTGTCAAGAAGGGAAAGTTTTGAAAGAAGCGCACAGTCTTATAATTGAAGAGAAAAGATAAATATCGAATTTACTCGATGATCACGAGGACATCGATGATAATGTAGAAAAAATATGTAAAAATCAATGCAAAAGATTGTCAGAAGGATTGACACAAATCAAGTACACTGCACTGCGTCGAGAGTGTCGTCGCAAGACCGAGCACTAACTCGGACAACTTGATTTTCCGTTAACACGAGCACTCGAATCGAATAATTAGATTTGAAAAGTCACCCCCGGCCGGGAAAGGTCCGCGTGTCCGGAGGAATCAACCCCTGTGCCGAGGAGTGGCCACGGTTTCGCGCCGTGCACCGGTCGCATCAAACCTCGCACTGGAAATACACATTATTAATCGAATAACGCGAGGCTCGTTCGCGCACCAGAGGGAAAAGTTGTATGTGAGGTAAATATATCCCTCTATCGGCCACAGTAAAACCACGCCTACTGCAGACGTCAATAGGCAGTGCCGTGCACGTCGGAAACGTGCTATGTGAAGACTCTGGGCCCTATTGATGATACAATATGCATTTCCGTGATTCACATTCAGTGTTACGTATGCTACTCCATTCTATGCCACGACATACACACTTCACTTATGCGCTTCTCTTTAAAACCACTAGAAAAACTAATTAAACTTCGTTATAATTTTTGATCTTGCGAATATAAATACGAATTAATCGATTTATTTCGATATTTTTTCACAATATATTAGAAATATCATTTTCACATAGCAATTTTCTTTCCTGATTTTTGATTTATTAAGAAAATTATGAATATTGTTTTATATCGATAAATTTTCGAATAAAATTTGTAACATTTGATCGTAATCAAATTAGTCTCGTCGCGATTCGAAGCTTTCGCGAAGTCATAAATAGTAATTGATCAAAACTGATCATCTTTATGAATCGATTGAACAGAATTTTGCTTGATTGATAAGTTTGTAATTGTTTGGTTACGTTCTCCGCCAGTTGTTTAGTCTCTGAAACATATGCTGCTAAATTATCGAGAATTACTAGAAGCGTTGCGATAATCACCGAAACGGAAGTTTAGTTCAGATAAGGATACGCGTGCGCGAGACACGATGCTGTAAATTTGTATCGGAGATCTATAGTATTTTAATGATACAGGTACAATTTGAAAAGTATATTTTGCTTAATAAATTTCTTCAATATTGTACAACTTAAAACTATATAAAATGATAAGAAGTTTCATTTTAATTAATTTTTAATAAAAATATGAATAGAAAGATAGAAAAAAAATTAAAGCGTTTATAAAAATAAAACGTGGATTGGTAGGTATATGATTTGTACGCTCCTGAAAACGATTGTCGGAAACGATGTTCCAGCTGCGCATGAGAAGGGCTAAACGCACGCGCTCTTATGCTCCGTTTACGTTTACATCTTATTTTTATTTAAAATTTGTTTTTTTTTATTAAAGTTAATTTGTATTCAAATGCACTATAAAAATGGATTAATAACAATCAACGATGAATAATCAACAATGATCAACGATAAATTATGAATCGAATTGCTTAATTCAACGAAGTGCGTTTAATTATACGTATTCAGGAATAGTGTCAAGAACAAAAAAGGAAAGAGATGAGAGAATGTTTAGTTAATTATCACTAATCATATAATAATTTCAAGTAATTATTAAAAATTCAAAGTTAGAGAAAATGAATTGTACATGAACTGTAGCATAGTTTTTGACTTGACGTTGCACTTGCATCATTTTAACCTGCCTTTCGACAGTGTCGTTCGCTCCGGTAAAGTATCACCTCCGCGAGTGGCTAGTTTACGTTCCGTAAGCTGATCCGTGCTGTCAGTGTGCCTGTCTCTTGTGAGGTTCCTGCGATTCGTTTGTCGTTTGCCAGACCACGAAATTATCGCGTCTATTTTCATCGCGAGCATTCGTCCCTCGAATCGACCAATTGTCGATAACGAACGGGCACGATATTTTCAACAAACCGAAATCTCCACATTCCACTATAACTTTTGAATATTCCCTAATTAACAGAGAAAAGAAAAAGAGAAAAAAAATCGTAAGAGAAAATCGATGATACCAATGTCGACCATTGTCGATTGCGCGTGATCACAGAAAAGATTAAAGTCGAGAAATCGAAAAAATGCAGACTCGCAATAATTGTATAATCGAATGTTTAATCAAATATTAATCGGGTGACAATAAGAGTATCATTTATCTTTATTTTTCAGATACAGCAATGAATATGCTGTCAAACGTAGTAATGTTATTGGCAATAATGGCCTTCGTGAACGCAGAGAGCATCTTAATGACTGAAGTATTCATTATTCCAATCAAACCAGAGACTTTCGACTGGAACGATGATGGTAAGAAGGAAAGATATTATTTGATCATAAACAATGACATCGAGAAAGATTTGCATCGCATTTATATCGCATTGACATTACGGAAATATATATACGGAAGTTGTGAAACGAACGATCATACAGAAATAACCTAGAAATGAGGGTCTATCAAACAGTAGACAATTTTCGGTCGTCACCCGTTATCTTGATTCACGGGTTGAAAGTTAAAGCGTACCTTCGCGCGTCATTCGCATTGCCTTATGAATACCAATCGATTCACGCTTTGAAGAAACTTAGCGAGTATCGCGGTTTCACAGCTGACACTGTCACGTGTATATCGGTACTTTCTAGCGCGACGTCATACGAGAATCACGAATGGCGTGGCGCTATGGGACGCGACGCATCATTAATTAATTGGTAACGCTTACGAATCAAACTGTTTTCCGTGGATTTTTCTCGGAAACGGGTGCAATCTTTCTGTGAACAACGATGAGTATGATTACTTGGAATTAAATTATTCAAAGTATATACGAATAAGTACTTTAACCTAGATATTTCCCAATGACTAACGAGTCACTATGATTCGTTTATTTCTTTCAGCACGTTCCGATCAATTCTCGTATCAACCCTCGTTATTAAATGCGCCTGATCTTCCATCATGGATTCATTATACATATAGCAAAAGAGATCATCATGGTTTTGTATATGGTGTTGCGCCAAAGAATCAAAAATATTTTCAGGTGATCTGTCTTGTCTAGCGTTAAAACTAATTAATAATTAGTTTTAATGAAAAAAATGTGATTTTTAGCTAGAGATTGTAGGTCTAAACAAATATACCTACGAAACTAGATACAAAGTTCTCGACATGAACGTTCTTGAGAAAGAAAATCTAACCAAGTATGAGGTTCATTTAAAAATCGATAATCTAAACGTGGAGGACATGTTCAATCGGAACAGAACTAATGAGCTTCTCGATATATTTAGGTTTGTCGATAAATTTCAAGGAAAAAGATTTCCAATGTTCTATATTGTGTTGGATCAAGCTTTCCCTTTTTTTTCTTTTTATTTACAGAAAGAGGTTATGGAAAGATGCAGTGAATTTATACGTGACTTTTTTAGCATCTGCAGTCGAGCTTGGCGCTCGTTTGCCTCTGAAGCCAAGTGAAGGCGAAGGGTAAGTCTCGTTTGAAAATCAAATGTGATGAGATTAATAAGATTAATAAGGGAGAAAAATAAGATTTAGATGTGATATACAGTTATGCAATTCTATTATCGTCAGCCATTATAATAATTATCGAACGATTCAATGGGATTCAGCGTTTCGATATCGCTGACGTATTATTCGACCGATCAACGGAAAACAACATTATGACGCACGTTCCACTTCGAATTTTTTTTTAAATGGGTAATTGCCATTTCTTTTGCAATTACGTCGTCTAATATGGTTATAGACATAGATTGTTATCGCGGTGACAATATATATTCGATTCATGAAAAATTTCTACAGTTAGTCGCTATGAAAAGTTCACGCGTCATTAAAGATAGTCATCTATGGAAACATTACAAAGACCGTCCCATCGAATATTCGCATTTTCAATAGCTGTTATTACGTAATCCGACTTTAAATCGCAATAAATTTTATTTGTTAGAAGTGATTCCTTTCTAAGACTTTTCGTCGTAAATATATGGAAAATATAGATTTTAAAATCATTTTGTAGCTATAGATAATCATCAGGGATTTATATAAATCTTATACATTATTATCACATTTTTTTTATTCTTTTCATTTTATTCTTGCATTAACTTCCAATTCTACGTATTGTTACGAATAAATAACAGTTTTTTTTCATTTCATCATGAAATTTATTTTCGATTAAAGTAATTCGACTGATTCGACCGTTTGCTTTAATATATTTATCATTGTGTTATTTCTGTTTCTTCCAAATATTAAAAGAATATAAATAATTTTTCAGATCAATGGTTTTTAATCTTTTTACGGTGGTTTTTCATGGGACGGTCATAAAACTAACAATTAAAATATACATGAATATACCTTTTATTAAGAATTATAAAACTTAATACGTCGCTTTTATAATTTTACGAGACACTAGTGTTACAAGAAACACCGATTAGAAGAATCACTGCTTTAGATCGGCACGAAAAAGAAATCACTGATCGCGTAGATAAGAATTCATAATTCATAAAATTTTTTTCTTTGTAACAATGCAAAACTGTCAAATTCTCATGACACTCTCTTTATGAAACAAATGCTTCAAAATTTCGCAGCATAGATAGCTTTGAATCATATTCAAAGATCGAGAAAAATGACTCGAATTTTTTTAAATAAAATTTCGCTAATAATTCTATTCGATGATCTTTCAAAATGATGCGTTCATTGAAGAATATAAAATGTATCCTTTTCATAAATAAAACACTGACACACATAATTAAAATCAAGTAAATATATGTGATAAAACAAATGTCGTGATATATTAATCGCACTTATTGAACTTAATATTATATCAGTTGCAGACACGATTTAAGTAACTTGGTAACGTATACATGTAAATGCGATATTGTCAGCGCGCTTGTCCAAGTTAACTAACTGAATGGCTTCCGGCTAGCCTGTTTACTCTCCTCCATCATACTTTTAGACGTCAACAGTGGTATATCTCCCACCGCATTACGCGATAATATATCTAGATGAAACTTTCTCATTGATATCCTTTATATCCAAGAAATATGTAAACGGATGCGATAAAAGAATTTGTATATTTTCTGCATCGTTTATCGTATCTCGCAAAATTATAATAGACAATTGTCTCGTATTTTACAATATGACTAAGAATATAGCATAAACGGATGCTTTTATTTTTATTAAGCTGTAATGCGATGATCATACATTTTCCAATTCATTGGAATCATCGTATATGATTCGTATATCGATATTCATTGGAATATCGTAATACGAATCATATTTCCGATACATCATACGTGATATAAAATAGAAAATAAAAAAATAAAGAAAAACGCATGTAGTGCCGCTTCTTCGAAACACAATAGGAGTCTATTAGTCGGATATAATTACGTGATTAAAATCAAATCTTTTAATTACATGTTATATAAAAAAAAAAAACTTAACGATGCGCCAATTAATTAATTAATTAATTAATTAAACGAATGATTTTAACGATAATTTTTTTCGTTCAATCATCATAAAAATTTCCAACGCGAAGGAGATGTTTCGTAAAAAGAAAAATTAATTTTAAAAAGCACTTCGTCATGGTCTAAATGTCAACGGCCGAATCGAGACGAATGGAAATTATATTTCTTAGCAGGCGGGATTATCCCTGACTTTCGACCGAGATAACGGATAACGGGAAGCAATGCACAAACAGAAAAATCATGACGCAACTTTAAACGCTAGGCCAGACGTTCAACGTGCCATGGAACACGTACACGCGTGTCGCACAGGTGTAATTTATCCACGAAAATTTTAAAAGTCTACGAGTAACGCGTGAAAACCTGCATTTTCCTTTTTCGTGGCAGAGTTGTTATAAGGCTAGGAAGTTCGATGCCATTCTCCCAAGAGTTGAACGAGCTGCAAGAAGAAGTAAAACCTTTGTGGAAATTACGCTCCTGTCCTCGAGATTTTAAACGTACCAGCGTCGAGAGACTCTTCAGAGAGGCAAGATTCGCGTTGGATTGGTGTTCCTTCAGATTGGTAAATTTCGTTTACCGTTTACAAATTGAAACAGTTCGGATGACGCATCAGAAATTCACGAGATGATGATTATATTTTATTTGTTTTAGGTCGAACAGGAGCAACAAAGTCTGCAGCAAGAAAGCGCGAGACGGGGACCGAGTATGAACGTTGGATTGGATTTACCGGCTTCAGGAATTTCAGAGCACACGGAATGGCGATGGGCCAGATCGACCAAAGCCAGCATTCCCACGAGAAGTTACTTTGAAGAAATTGTCACCACGATCTTTGCGTCTGTTATTCTGTTTTTCGTATTGGCCGCTTTGCTCAGCATGCTGTTGTGCCTGGATCACGAGAAAATGTGAGTATATACGCCAGTCGTTTCTTTTCGTTGTTTCAATATGAATTTCTTTCTCAATATTCTCAACCTCGATTCTTTTTATTTCCCGATAAAATCGGGGAATACGAAACGCGGTACATGTGAATAACGGTGATCAAAAGAATGTCAATTGAAATATTTGTCATTCTATACGAAGCACGTGCTCGAGAAATAAATTCCAATGTATAGCAGTATGAGGAACGAATATAAGTGGTAGGGGCGTTAAGAGCAGATAGAGGGGGCTGCTACTACAACTGGTTTCATTCATAAACAGCTACGATATCTGGTCAAGTAGTAACGTGCTGGACGTTGCGATCGAAAATACGGTTACGGCGAATCGCGTGCTTGATAAGCATGAACGCCGTTGTCTGTACGCGGCGAAATTATGAGTGCTCTTTATGCTTGATAATATAAATTTAATTGGTTACATTTAATTTGAAATTTAACAAAGAAATACTTTTTGAGAAACAGAATATAAAATGAAAAGAGTGATGGATGAAAATACGTGCATGTAGTACAATAAATAATGAGATATTTCTAAATATAAATAAATAAGCGATTTTTCTCTTAGAAATGCACGTGTAATAGCAACGGATAAAAATAGAAATCGGGTTACATCGCGACCTATGTGCCACAACGTACGTCGATTAATATACACAGTTCACTTATCATTGAAGTACGTAGCGCATCATTAATCTACCGAGCTTTTGGTCATGCCTAACTACTTGTTCAAGATACGGAATCATTTGAATTAAGAAGAATGCGTACGATATTTATTACATATTATACACCATCGATAAAAGTGGACAACTTAAATATTTAAAATCGATTAACTCGTGTTCATTTTTAAAAATATTTTTCCATTGTTCGTTCTCTATAAAAAGATAGAAATCATAGCTTTTTCGTTTTATCCTGTTATAATAAATATCAGGCGTGTAGGCGTTGCACGAGAAAAAACAAGAATTGTTATGCGATATCAAGCTTACTCGTGACGCAACGGAATCGTTAAACCAGTTCCCATCGATTAGAAAATCGTCAAGAAATAATCGTAATAATTAAGTTCATCTTGCGCAATTCAGCAATGCGTTGACAACGTTTCTGTTTCAAAGTAGACGAAATCTAACTCCATAAAATATGATCTATTTATAAACGAATGACCTTGATGATTGCGTCATCGATTATTCGTGCTTCTTATTGCTTTACCTATGACTTTTTCTCTGAATTTAAGCTTGATGAAATACATTTCGTGCATCTACTTTGCATCTTATATTATATTCGCCTTTCTAAAGATTGTGTAAATATATATGATGACAAAACAAAAAGTATTGTTAGCGATCGATTTTCGTTAGAAATGTTCATGGTTTGCAATCGCTCGATACTTTATAACAGTTGAACGATTCCCATTTATAATTATCTACATCGTTCCTTTGAAAAAGCAATTATGTTCATGTAATCGATGATAATATAGTCTATAAATATATTTGTTTTCTTAAAAATGGAATCTAATTTTAGTAATTTTCATTTAAACAGTAGTATATGTGATTTACCTCAATAGGATTTTATCTATACGTATCTGCTTCGACTGCATTTAATCGTATTCTCGGCATATTAGAAATATGTATATATCTGAAGCTTATCCTAAGATCTCATTGTGTAAAATCGCATATCTGCGCAAAATAATCTGATTTGAATGTCATATATTCACAACGATACGTAAATCGTATAATCGTGTATAATTGCAACAATGATCGACAGTGAAACTAAATTACGTACATATTGATATATAAGAGGGTCACAGCTCGTGATCTACATATATGATCAAGGTAATTAAGCTACAGATAATACGGGTTATGCGAAAACAGGAATAGTACGTATGCGCGTCATCATTGATATGACTCATAAAAAAGAATATAACGATAATACAAAGTTTACCTAAACTAAATCCATTTGGTCAATTTCGATATAAATTTTCATTGATCGATCTTTCTATTTCCTCATCTTCTTTTTTTTAACATTGTATATCCCTTTGTATTATTCATTTTAAGCGTGCATCGAGAAAAAACAATTAATTTTTTCTTCTTTCTTTTTTTCCATAGGAACGATTCCAAATCTGAAAAATATTTCTATGAATTATTTAATATTTTCTACGGTGAAAAACAAAAAATAAAGTATATCTTGATTTTGACATTAACTTGATCATATTAATATTTTTAATAAAATATATTCTCGTTAACAATTTTAAGTTTCTTAAATATTTATTTGATCTGAAAAAAATTATATTATATTATAAGTTATTTAACTGATTAATATCCTGATTATTTATTTTTTAGAGAAAAGAGAGAAACTTCAACAGGAGAAGGAGTTAGCAATAATATACAAATGGTCCAATATGCTGCCGAAAGAGGTATCTTAAAATCGCTCTCCGCTCAACCTTCCAGTCCTAATGATTCTTTGCTACCAAGTCCCAGGTGCATATTTTTTTTAATTTAGGATAAAAAATATGTCAATCGTAAATTTCTTATCGTTATTGATAGCTCAAGTTCTATATTTTGATTACATTTTAACAGAATTTCTAATGAACGTTGTAATCCATATATTCGACCAAATCCACCACCTTACACAGGACCAAGCAATTTGTAAGTACCAACTGATAATTTCCATGCTTGTCAAAGTTATTTTCCATATACGTTATTAATTTCTCAGAGTCGGCATTCGAGCAGATTTCTGACTACACGAGGAGCCAGAAAAAACGTGGTTTTGCTGAATTAGTAACGGTTTTCTATCGTAACTACAAGGAAAATCGCAAAATCATTAAAACTGGCTCCATATTATCTGTTGCTTCGTAATTTGATATCGTAATATTTATCATAAATTTTATTTAAAGTTAATAAAAAAAATATTTTATATTGCATCACGATAGTAAAAATATATGTTTAATTTAAAAGATTAATTAATTAATATAGATCATAATTAATATAGCAAATTAGTATATTATATAAAAAAAAATCCTTTTTATATAATCTATATTAAGAAAATCATTTAGAAAAATATGTATGATATACATATATTTAATATTTAAATTAAAACTTTTAATTAGTTTTACAATATACATTTTACATATGTATATAAATACAATGGTGCCATATGACATTAATTAATAAAACATACCTTTCTAAACTAAATGTTTTTTACTTAAAATCCGTGCAATCAAATTCCTTTATCCTATTTTTCAAATCCAATTTCAAAATTATCTTGATTCCAAAATTTTCAATAAAGTGAAAAAAAGCAATATAAGAATTCTTTATTAAATTTAATATAAAATTTACAAAATTTTGCAAGCAAATACAATATAAAATAATATAAATCAGAATTAATAATAGACTAATATAATAATATCTTTCTTAATGTATTAAAAATAAAATAAATAAAAAATTACTAAATATCTCATTAAATTATAATATATATTTTATTAAAAATATATTTGAATTTATTTGTGTTTATTAATTTTAATTTTAATACGTATCTTGACGTTTATACAACAACCTAACCTTTTTTAGTAATTGCGCATGCGTAATATATCATGTTTTTATGCTAATATTTTAACAGTCGTTTTATTAAGAAATTTTCAATGTTATAATATAATATAAGTTTTTGATAGTGAATAGTTTAATAATACGATAAACTAATAATAAAAATAAAAATATCATAATAACAATTTTTCTAATTTTTGGAGCTATGGCTGGTATTATACTGTCTGGTAAATCTGGTAGAAAACAATGGACATTGCATGGTAACGCAACAATTTCAGTTTTTATTTTTTCATAAAAATTACAATTTTCATTTCTTTTGCAATTTAATCATATATCTATTTAAATAATACTATACTTTTATAATGAAGATAAATGTTAAATAATAGATGTCACATATAAGTAAATTTTTAGAAAAATATCAAATATCTAAATACTTTATTCTTTGAAATAAAATTTGACAAATGA